GGCGCCGGGGGGCATGGCCGTTTGCCCGCTGGGCGCCAGGAGGCGGGGACACTTGCGCCCCGGGGCCGGCGCTCCCCCCGCCATGCGCCCGGTGCCAGGCCAGCCCCGAGCACCTGGCGGGCGCATGGAAATGCCCCCGCGGGCGCCATGGCACCCACGGGCACCATGTTGGGGACCACGGCCCTAGGTTGTCAATCATGCCCCATGACCTTACACTCTTTAAATCCAGGCATCTTTTCCACAGCCTGGCAACAGCAGCCAAAGAGAAAAAAACTCCTGCCCACCTCCATCCTTCCAAAAGCACGTTACTTTTTATCTGTCATGTATATGAGAAGCTTAGAAAGGCCTCAGTCAGTTTGGCACCCTGCCGGGCTAAAGGCTGTCCAGTAAATACCAACTCCCAGCCCCCATGAGCTTAAAATGAGACATGGAATATGAGGCAAGTGAACAAACAGGCCAAGAGGCAATAGGATGATTTTGTATCGGTCAAAGCAATCATTTTAAGACCTGTGACATGCAAGGTGAAGGTCTCAGGCCGTGCTCTGCCATACCCAGAATCAACAATCTGCAAGAGGGTGATTTAAAAACCAAGCTGAAGCCACTAAAATAGAATGAAAGAATCGGTGACCCTGAGATTCCAACAACCCACCAAGGGAACAGGAGACCATGTTGGCTGCCATTGTCAAGAGATAATCAACAGCTTCAACCCAAGGTGGATGCCTTTGGAAATAAAGCCCAGATCCCAAGCTCAAATAACTGAAACGATGACTGGGTGCTTTTTTATTCCGGCTCTCTCGCTGAATTACGAGGGGCCTTTGTGCTTGTGGGCCTCGCCTGGATAATAGGGGCCTTGAGACTCACTGAGAGAAATAATCGAATCCCACTCCACAGCATATGGTCACAGTGTGAGGTGAAACTGTTCCCATTGCACAAGGAAATGAATATTAAGAGCAGCACAAACCAAGATTGACCTTGTTTTTAAAGACTTGATGATTCGTACAGTGCACACCCGTTCTAGGCACTGGCATCTGCAAGGATGGAGACATGGTGCACAAGTTAAAATATAACCCTCATGCTAACCCTTCAGGGGGATGAATTGGGTTTGGGACAGGCCAAGTTAAACACTGAAAGGGGAGGGAAGCTCAACAGTGTCTCGCCAGTCAAAAGTGTCCCAACAAAGCTGTGGCACCATGCTTTCTAAAGGTCTAACCAATGTGTTTCAGATGGACTTAGCTAGACCGCGGGGGGCTTTCGCAATACTGAAGGTATCCCAAAAAGCTCTTCTGCGTTCAGGGAACATGTTTGCTCTTCCGCTTCTTTTTGCGAAGAGCAAATGTGCTCTTTTGGCAGCCCCTGTATTCCTTGTTCTACGAGGAAGAAGGGGGCTTCCAAAAGAGGGTTTCCCCCCGACAATTGGCCCAGTCTAGATGGGCCAAATGTTGGAAAAGCCTCTTCTGACAAAATTGGCAAAAAGATACGCAAAATGCCGAGCGCATTCTGCTTACCTTTTTCCGACAAAAGCTTGTAATCTAGCTATACCCATAGGGAGGGTGCTAGGAGGTGGTTTTGAAACCCAACTTGACTCAATTCTGGACTAACATTTCCTTTGGGGCCTTGAACCCGCAAGGTGCTAACTGCAGTAGGAACTGAGGGTGTGTTGCACCTTGCTAGATAGAACCTTGTGCTCAGATACGGACACAGCATCCTGAGAAGGAATTATCTCTGTACTCAGCTTGA